CATAATTTCTTGATGCTTTTTTTTCTTAAAAGAAAAAAAAGACTCCATGAGACAAGAAACGCCCTTGTCCAGGGGACCTGAAAGAAACTGTATAATGGAGAGGCATCATGGATGCAGATTATGGGCTCCCAGGACTGGAAAGTAATTCTCTGGGCTGACGCTCAAATTTTATGTCCCCACGGGAAAGCCTCACTTATTTCTTAAAGGCTGTAATCTACCACAGGTTTATAGCATACATAGATTTCAAACTATTGAATAGTAATTTACCCCACAAGTATGGTAAAAATTTGCTCTTTATTGATCTACTGTAATCCCAACATAGTTATTTTTTGTATCAGAAGGTTGGTGCTGCAATATGATAGACTTGCCTTCTCCGCTAAGGTGGATCCAAGAAGGCAAGTCTTCCCAGCATGGAAGATCTGAGTTCCTGGCTGTATGGGATATGACAGACACCTGGGCAAATGCACTCATTTTACAGATGGGTTTATACTAGCCATGCCTTTGCTCAGAGATGGCAAATGACTTTTAGGGGTGATTTTTGACTTCCCTCACAGTATCCCTGTAGATGAGGGGTAATTCACGTGATTTCTGTGCCAGGTCTCCTCTAATGAACCACAGTCCTGAATTGGGATGGTCATGTAGCTTTTTATATCTAAATCTAATGTTGCATTTGTTATTCAGAAATGCTTCAAATAAAAGGGAGCAGGGCAGAGGGGTGGGGAGGGGATGCTTGCTTTTTCACTTCAATTCTTTGCTCTGCTAAGGGACACCTGGCCGGAGAAGACAGTGCAAGCTTCAGAGACTGTTACGTTGCCTTTCCTTCCTCCTGGGCAACTGCTCAGGGAAAGGTAAAATCAGAATCATTATGTAAATATAATGTATAGAAAAACCTAGTCAACATATTTAAAGTTTAGCTTTCTTAAGTATTATCTAAGACAAGAAAACACATTAAATTTTGTTCATTCCTGCTTGTTTATCTTATTTATTCTAGAAGACTGATGATAGCTTGACCTAGAGAATTAGAGGTTTGTCTGGGCAAACACCATAGACTATCCCAGGATGCCTCCCAGGGAACGTTCATTATCCTGGAGAACCCACCTTGATCAAGGGTTTGACTATCAGCCTCAGCCGGGAACTGGATTTTTTCATTGTGAGGAAAGCAGATCCTTCTCGCCAGGTCAGATTTCTAATAATGAGGATCATGAAACTGAGCTATAAACCATAATGCTGATAGGCTAACTTTCAAGAAGAAATAGATTGTCACCACAACCAAAATGCAGGAATCCCCACAGCCAGCCCTTTCCTTCCTTTAGACGGACTCTCTTTACCTGTGAGGCCAAATAATACCTTGGGGGGTTGCTTAGAGATCACAAAACCTGAAAATGGGACTTAGAGAAATCAAATGTTCACAATCACCAGACTAAATGATCCTGAAGCCTGTCCCTCCTTGTAAGGAATGTCCTTGCCTCAGACCTCAGGTCTTGCATCTTTTGTCCATTGACCGAGTCCTCATGATTGGACCCTCACCGCCATCCTTTGTTTGTGCATTCGCCTTTCCTTTGGCTTTAGAATGATTCATCCTTGCCACCCAATGTGCCCCCTGCCCCAGGCCTGGGAATCAGCTGTCTCTTTATGATGATTTTACATCTCTCTTCTCAGGACCATTGTCTTAATATTACAGCTCAGTTCTCAAAAGAGCAACTTAATTTTTCTTGTCAGTTCCTTGCAGGGTGTCACACAGTATCACCCTGAGTACTAATAATAACAGTGTAGGTTGAACTATTGGCATCTAATAACGTATAGTTTTCAAAGTGACAAATAGGAGGTTTTGAACAACCTGATTAGACGAAATAGCATCTTCAGGATATAGAAGAATGTGGAAATGATTGTGGGTGGCACAGCAACTGCACAAAACTGCACTCTAATTCTGGAGCTCTTTGTAGATTCTCAATAGCCCTCCTGTTCAGTAAATAGCTGTTCCTAGAAACTAGGAGCAGGAGGGAGGAAGAGAGGGAAGGAAAGAAGAAAGGCCCTTAATCACTTGGAAGGAAGATTCATAGAGAATTGTAATGGAAATATGGGCCTTGACAGAAATCAAGGCTAATGTTTAAGGATGGCTTCTTAAAGGAGGTGAGTGTAAAACTAGTTTTAAAGGAAGATAAACAAGGATGCTTATATACTGGCATTCCTGTGCAAAATGACCATGGACTGGAAGACAGGGAGGAGAGGCATGGCAGTTCACATTTATTGCTGTTTACTAGGTACCAGGTACTCAAACTATAAAAGGCATCTGTTGTTGCCTGCCTGACATGTAGTTCTCCTAATAAGAGTACCGAATTTCCTTAGGACCACCTCTTTCCCATTCACAGCCTACAAGGTGTAAGAGGAAAGATTCTACCCAGGAGTGAGCATGTGACCCTGGCCTAGTCAACCAGAGCCTGGCATCTCCTGGCCACTGGCATTGATTGAAGGATGGTGTCATGTCTCAGTCAAAACCAGTGAGACTCATTTCCCAGACTTTTGCGGTAGAATTGCTGAGAAGATAAGATGGAAATCTGTAAGCCATCTTATAACCACATAGAAAAAATCTGCCAGAGAATGGTACCAACACAGAATAAGTGTGAGAGCTGGAGAGAGCAAGGTTATATCCAATGACATCGTTTGGTCCCCTGGCTACAGCCTGGAGCCAGTCAAGCCCTGGACTTTTCAATGATGAGAAAATAAATTCCCTTTTTTTAAGCCAGTTTCATTTAGATTTCTGTCAGTTGCTAGGGAAAAAATCCTGACTAGTACACACACGTACAATAATATGTTTATGGAATTATGCGTACTCTGACCATGTTCCATGTATATTGTCTCACTACCTCTCCACAATGGCATAGGTCATAACATAGGTGCAGAAACAGAATAGTTAAAACAGTAAGTGGCAGGGCTGAAATTTCAAACTCAGGTCTGTCTGGCTCCAAGACCAGAGGTTTAGCTCCTATTTCTATTTAAAGTAGGGAAATGAGGACTAGAATGGTGATGAGGAAAGAGCAAATCTGAGAAAGAAAGAAATTCTTAAACTGTTCCAAGTTTACCAAAAAGGAATCACTGTGATAGCCAAAGTATTGTCATTTACTCTATGAATGAGGTGACTTGATCACATTTTTACCACAAGGTCAACTATCCCAGGGATGATGCTTCTATTCTCTCCATTTCTGACTGCTCAGGACTGGATGCCAGAATTAGGATATTAATTCAGCTGCTGTAACTAGTCCCAAATGGAAGTGCATCTCTCTCACATCAGCAGTCCAAGTGAAACAGTCCAGTACTCAGACGGTGCCAGGCCCAGGCCACAGCTCTCCCATGGCTCTGCCATCCCTAAGTTGCAGCCTCATCCATATGGCCAGGGATGGCTCCCAATCAATTTCATATTCCAGCCAGTGGGAAAGGGGAAGAGAGGAAGTGGAAGGTACACCCTGTGCTTTTAGGGTCACAACTTGGAAGTTGGATGCATCATTTCTGCTTAGGATGGAGGGGCCAGAACTTGGTCACTTGCCCCAACTCATCTCCAAAGAAGGCTGGGGAAAGTCTTTTGGGTAACCACGTGCCCAACTAAAAATGCTTCCAGAAATAGGGTATGACTTATCAGTGTCTACCACGATCTTCGTAATGGAGTACATCTCTAACTAAGGTGTAGATAAGCAAGTATAGAAGTGACATCAGGTTTTTTACAAATGTATCAAATGAACAGCCAAGCACCCTACCCTGCCCCAGATGAGTTCCTAAGGGTTTAGGAAGAGTTCTAATCCAAAGCTTTATAGCTTTTCCCCACTTCCTCTTGTCTTATACTCTCTTTTGATACCTTTTGCCCCATCCTTTCCCCTGCAATTCTACAAGGAGACCCAGAGTAATAATAACCAAGTGACATGGTTCACTCAGTAAAACATACAGGACATTGTGGATGCCAGAGATGCAATGATGAGCCAAATGACCTGACCCCATGGAACCAAGAGTCTAGTGGGGACACGTTAGAGGATCACAAATGTAAAAGTGTGATAATCCTGAGAAAGAGGGGTCCATGGAAGAGGGACTAAGAGAAGGAACGGACCCAGTCAGGGAGGGGGGGAGGCCCCCCAAGATCTGAGGGAAGAGCAGGTTCACAAGGAGAAGGGACGGGCATGCTTCAGGCAGAAGGAAAAGTGGCAAAGGCCCTTTGGCCACCTCTACCCTTCCTTTTGTAGGCTCTTTCTCCACTCCGCCCCCGTCTCTCCCTCACTGTCTCTTCCTCAGACCCCATTAGGATCTTCGGCCAGGCTGTTTATCCCCCAGGCGCTTTCTGCATCATCTCTTCCCTAGGAAGGAATTCTAAGGGTTGATTTTTGCCGTATTAGCAAGTGTACCATATTTCAGCATCTTTCTAGAAAAGCATGGGCCCTAGGGTCTGAGCAATTTTCCTGACAACTTACGATCCTCTGGGCTTTGAATAAGAATCCAGTGTTTAAAAAGTCCAGGGGTACCTGGTCATTGACTGGAGAACCTGCCCCTGCAGATTCTGGGACCCAAAAGTCAATCTAGGAAGAATGAGAGGCCTTAGCCATGCCAGACCTGGAAGCTTCTGAAATGCACAGCAGATGTAAGAAAATGACTGTGAAGTCTGAGCACACGGCGTGTTGTCCTTATTTATCTGCAGGTATTCCAAATGTTTCCCTTGTTTATCCACAGGAAATGAAACTAGTGAACTATGTCAGAACTATTCCTGGGGCCGGCTCCGTGGCAGAGTGGTTAAGTTTGTGTGCTCCGCTGCGGCAGCCCAGGGTTCGGATCCTGGGCGCGAACATGGCACCGCTGGTCAGGCCACGTTGAGGCAGCGTCCCACATCCCACAACTAGAATGACGTGCAACTAAGATATACAATGTGTATGGGGTGGGGGGGGGGGGGGGGCGGGTGGTTGGGGAGATAAAGCAGAAAAAAAAAAAAAGATTGGCAACAGTTGTTAGCCCAGGTGCCAATCTTTGGGGGGGGAAAAAAAACTATTCCTCCAAGAGTTTTTTTTTTCATTTCAAACATGTAGATACAGTCATTCTAAGCCTCCATATAATGCCAGATGATACCACTAACAGACAAAAAGTGAACTATAGGAGTGAATTCAAGTCGGTGACATCAGAACAATGAAGGGCCAGGGCTTAAGACCACAGAGCAGCTCCTACCAAAACAAAGAATCGAGTTTCTGAATCATGAGTATGACTTTTTATATGTTTTAATGCATGTATACATCAAGTTCAAAGACGTTTGGGCTATCTCATTTACTGTCTTTCTTAGTGACCTGGAATGAAAGAAGTTAATGAGGTCATCTATAGCCAATTAGGTATTACTAGTAACAGAATCAAGAGTGCACAGAAATACTATTTTTGAAAAATGTACAGAAATAAAATTGGACATAAAACATAATGCAGCTCAGGGCAACTGGATAAAATAATTCCACTTGTTACACACATTTCCGAATGGCTCAAAGGCCATGGGGGATGCCTTCTAGGATGAGAGCAGTACTCTTTCATCCTCCCTAAAAGAAGTGTTCTCAGGCTCCAAATCTGTTAATTCAGATTTCAATATGGTGGCTTTTTCTCTCTTCCATACTTTTCCTGTTATCTGAAAAATGTCTCAAATAGAGTATGACCCGTGATGCCAGCCCGTGTCTGGGGCTCAGTCAGGGACTCAGTCAGCCTTGTTGCATCCCTCCTGGTCCTCGTCTCTCTCTCTGCCCTCAGCCTAATAAGAAACAAAACTGATTATGGAGCCCTTCTTCCCAAGCTCATACAGTGACTCCCGACCAGGGGTAGAAAATGTGTCAAAATGCCCTAGTCTGGACTGGGATGGAGATGAGGGCTAAAGAGGTCAAACCACGCACATCCCCGGAGAGCCCTCATTTACTGATGAGAATGTGTGCAGCCCTCTGGTGGGCTGGGATGGAAAAACAGTTGCAAACCTCCGATGAAAGATTATTAATGTACTTGAATTTTGAGCTCCTTGGCAGGGGTACATTGGCTTATGATTTGCTTTCTATATTGTCGAGCATGCAGGAGGTGCTCAGTAAACATGGATGAAAGAATGCACTGAGCCTGGAACAACCCAGCTAAAGGGAACCTAAGAGATGGACATTTTAAAAATTGAGCCCCAGAAATACCAGGGTAGAAACAGGAACCCTCATGCAGGTTCGGAGATGCCAAACTAGGCTAGAAGCTCAGTCTGCCACTCATGAAAGCTGGAGTCTCATTCCAAACAGGTCAGGCAGCACAAGGTGACAGAGGGCTCGAAGCAGGAGCCCCTACTCATGGTCTTTATAAAGGCTGTCTGGAGAGGAAGCCTGGCTTGGGAGAGCGTGTGCTTTGCAACCTCTCCCTGAATGGGAATGGGTTTGTCAGATGAATCAGCCAAAAGTGGTCTGGAGAAGTGCAAGAAACGTGACAGCTAACCCCTGCTCAGCAGAACCTGTGAGTCTGGGCTGAGAGGCAGTGGTTCTCGGCCCTATCAGACCCAATGCACTGTTTTAAAAACAAATATTTTAAGTTCCCCTTTTCTATCCTGAACTGAAATTCATAGATAATTATTGTCTCTATAATTTAAAAATTTTTAAATACCCAGGAATGATTACACTATGGTGGCCACAAGTCACTGAGCTCCTCGCCCACAGCCAGGTGGCTCCTCCCAGCTCTGCTGTAGAGAAAATCGACCTGACACCACCCAGCAACTCACCTTCCGGCTGTAGGAGAGGAGGTGGGAGGCACAATCCAGATTGGCCCGTTCTTGCTCCACAACTGACTCATGAGGCATCTGTAGGGACAAATGCAGACGGAGATGGAGTAAGTCCATCTGTGGTAAGGCCTCCCAGGAATCCTCGGTTATGCACAGACATCTCCACACGCTCCACACTCTGCCCACAGCTGCCAGCTTTCTGCCCAATGATGCTGGAGACGAGGGAGCCCAGGAGGGTCAGCCAGAGAAGGAAGGTTCTGACAAATGGACTTGACTTCCCCCAAATGCCAGGCCATCATGGTTGGGGAAAGTCAGCTTTCTTTAAATGTTTCACCTTGACGGTTTGGGATGCTTTTTCATCTGTCTGCTCTGTGCTTTAGCAATGATGTCTAACAGCACAGATAACTGTGCCTCGGACCCCCAGCTTTGCCAACAGGAATTCTCCATCTCTGCTCATCTAAAAGCCCAGAGATGAAATGAGGCTGCACAGTGACAGCTCGGTTCCCCCCAGCGGGTGGCAGTGTGGTGCAGGGGACAGAGCACGTGCCCTGGAGTTCAACAGCAAAAGGTTCAAATCCTGGCTCTGCCGTCTAGCAGCAGTGTGACCGCAGTTACTTAGATCCTCTGCACTTCCATCTCGCCAATGGTAAAACGAGGATAAAGAAACCTACTTGGCTGGGTTATATTGAAGAAACCTACTTGTCTGGGTTATATTGAGCATTAAGCAGAATGGTTTGAAAAAAAAAAATGTGCCCAGCCCAGTGCAGGAAACATAGGAGACACTCAGAAAATGGTTTTTCCCCTCTCAAACATCTGGAACGCAGCTGAGAGTGGCAAGGAAAGCAGGGGACAGGGAGCCCCAGAGAACTAGTTTCAAGTTCAGATCCTTGACTTCAGACGCTCCATCTTATAAGATGGAAATAATGATGCTTCGTTGGGAGAATGACGAGCATGCTCAGGGAAGCTCTGCACTGCTCAGTGGCATCATTGCTGCTTCCACTTCCCTGCTCTTAACCCAAGAGCAGCTCCAGGTTTTCCAGAGGAAAATCCGCGGGAGCGTTCACTGTATCTCTGCTGCTTGGTCTACTTCCTCTGAAGTCACAGTGTGTTTACTGAGGGTAGAGGGACTGTAGCCTTCCTCCTTGCAAGTGGTACCATTTCTACTAAGGAAATAATGAGATAATGTGGTCTCACTTTAAAGTAGGAGTTAAGGTTGGGCATGAGGGAAACATCCCCGGCATCTTATCTGTATAACCGTGACTCCTCCCGTGCATTTTTTATGGTGCAGACAGTTATCTGCAAGGCCTTGACCCACTTGCGTCTGGAGGCGGGAGATTGGGTCTAGTGAACTCAAAAGCTCTTGGCAGGGCTGGTGTTCTGGGGCGGAGGGTCAGGGGTGCCAGGGAGGTTCTGCAGGGACCCACCAGCTCTGGGGCTGCCAGGAACAGCGAGCTGAGCGGGAAGTGCAGGAAGTTGAGGCAGGTGGCCGTGTAGAGGTCGGCGTAGCGCGTCAGCTGGCTGGAGAAGAGCGTCTGGCGGAAACCACAGCGGAACAGGCTGCCCATCGTGCTGTAGCACAGGTCCAGCTCCCGGGTGACTCTCTGGCAGAGGGGAAGCACGCTGACTCGAGATCCTATCCCACCTGCACCTGCATCACCCACGGCGATCCCACCCACCCTGGTCTGTCACCTGGGGACCTCGAGGCCTTTGCCCACTGTAGGAAGGAGCTTCATTCTTTAGACCAGGGGCCACACACGTGTTGTTCAGCCAGCACAGGGCTCTGGGAGGTGGGGCAGCTCTCCACTTTGCCACGGGCCCCACTCCCTGCTTTCCTCATAGTCACCTGCCTGGCCCCGGAGAGTGACTAGCCCGCACTAAACCCTCAGCATAACGTACCCTCTGGTGCCCCCACAGAGGGCTTTGCAGAGGCCCACACACCCAGCCCCACTCTGGCCCCCCCGGAGGCCCCCACCTCATCCCAGGCCCTGCTCTTAGAGGCTGGAGAACTGCTCCAGACATTTACTCCCAGAGTGACCAATAGTGTGCTGTTTCCCCTCTCTGAGCCTCATTTCCTCATCTGTAAAATAAAGGTGACAATCCTTGCCCTGCCCACCTCTCAGGGCTGTGGAAGGATCAAAGGGCATGCAAGGGCTTTATACTCCCCAAAAGGCTTGGCAAAATCCTTCATTATTGGTCCCAGCTGGCCCTGGAAATGCCAAGCAGCCTGAATCCCCTGGACACGGCCTGTGGGGCTCTCCCAGCTTTGGTGGCTAGTCAGTAAAGCCACAAGGGGATGTCTTCCTTTCATTTTTTTCCCAGGACCCATCAGCTCACAAGCCCTAAATCTCATCTTCTGGGGTCCCTTGTCTGGCTGACCCCAGACACGGATCAAAGCTGGAGAGTCGGTCACATGAAGACCCAACCCGGCAGGCAGGCATTTCTCAAGGAGTGGTAATGGTGGAGATGGAAGGACAGGGGCCAAGCCCCACAAATCACCCCACAGGCAGAACTCAGCCCCTCAAGAGCAAGCACACTGCTGTTATTTGGAACACAGACCAGCAGAGGGCGCTGACTGACAAGGACAAGAGGAGCTCTACTGAGGCCAGGGAGAATTAGGTAACTAGGCTCCAGGGACTTGAGACAGAGCAGGTCCCAGCAGGCAGCCCAAATCCAGGTAGGCAGCCCAGAGGCACACACCCGATCCCCGACTCCCGCTGAGTCCCTCCCCTCCTCACTTGGCACCCCGCTCTTACCCAAATCTCCCTCTTGGTGGAGTTGATAACTTGCAGCCCACGACTGCTCCCATCCATGTGCCTGGTGCAAAAATGGCCATGTGACGCAGGGGGAGAGGCGCCGGGCTTCCAGGCTCCAGACACAACCTCTCTAGACCACGTAGGGGTCAGGGAGCACTCCACGGGCCCCCAGTGTGGGCGCTGGGTTGGGTGTGTGCATGTGTGCAAGAGGGTAGGCACCCAGAGTCCATGCTGCGTGGGTTAGGAGGAAGAGCCCAGAGGTCACAGTGTGAGTGGTCCCAAGGAGGTCTGAGGGGTCCCAAAGTTCAAGTTACTAGGCAAGCCCAGCCCGAAGCAGATCTGGATCTCCTGACTGCCCTGGCCAGGTCCTCACTGCCAGGCCTGGACGCGGGCAGCCACCCTCTATCCCTCTCTCCTCCCCAGCGGGGCCGCAGGCCAGGGCTCTCACTGGTATAAGTCTGCCAGGTGCATGTCCAGCCTTTTCAGCAACTCCATCCGCTCTGAAAAATGAACAGGGCACAGTAGGGGTAAGTGACAGCCCTGCCCCCACCTTCGTCTGCCCCAGGCCCAGCTCGGACATGTGGCGAGGGTGGAGAGGTCACCAGGGGTCTTTGACCCCCGGCTGTGTGCGTAACCTCCTTGGCCCCTTCCTTACACCAAGTGAGACTGCCCAGAGCAAAGCGGGGACAGCAGAGCCTGTGGGACAGGTAAGAAGCTGGTCAGGGAGTCAGGCGACCTGCCCAAGGTCACACAGCAATGACTCAAACCCAGCTCTTAGAACCAACTCGAATTGTTTGGGCTCACAGCAACTCCTGACCCCAAGGATACTTCAAGTCATTCCCAGGTTGGAGAGGACCGTTCTCAGGGAGGGTGGGGAGGGGAGGGTCGGGTGAGGAAGGAAGCCTCAGACTACGGAAACACCTCAAGGGGGGAGTTGAGTCTCGGCTTTGCCCCTTCTGGCTGTGTGACTTTGGGCAAGCCGCTTAACCTCTCTGGGTCTCTGTTTACTAATGTATAAAATAGATCCACTTTCATAAACCACAGAGTAGATAATATTATCATGGTCACTACTAACCCCCCACAGGAAAGAGGGGAAGATGACGATGGGGCAGTCCTCTGCACTGGTGGCCAGTGCCCCCTGCCCGTTCCTGACCCCCCCACAGCTCACCCTTCTCTTGGGCCCAGATGTCCACCTCCCGGGACAGCTCAGGAACCACCAGGCAAGTCCGCCAGCCCTGCTGCTTCTTGGACTTGAGGATGTCCCCAAAGATGTGGTCCCCAATGTACAGGATGTCCTTCCCCCGCACCCCGAGCAGCTCACACACCACATCTGATGATCCTGCCCAGCATGAGAGGACAGGCTCACCTGCAGCCCTTCCCATCCTGGCAGGCAGTTTGGGGTCACGGGCTCCTAGTCAAAGGTGGGTGCCTGTGGAGGGTTGGGGTGGTGTGGGAGCTGGTACCTCCAGAGTAGACAGCACAGTGTTGGTGGGGCCCTGTGTAGGTGCCCACGCGGAGCTTGCCCGAGTCCTGGAGGGGGGAGAGGGGCGCCCTGGTCTAGCTGGGAGCTGCAGGGGGACCCATGGGGACATAGGAGGAAGGAGGCAGCAGAGGGTCCCGAAGGTGTCAGGGGACAGGCAGACCAGCAGAGCCGTGGCTGCCAAGGGCAGATCAAGCCGGAGAAGCAGCCCCCTCCCCACAATAGAGTCCATGGGTCAAGGTGGACGTGGCCTCAGCCCCTGCCATTACCGTGTTGACCTGTCTCAGCACCGTTCCCTCCGCAAAGAAGCAGGGTTTGTGCGTGTCCACCACAATCAGGTCGAAGTAGGACCTCCAGGGCCTGGCTGAGGCCTCGGCCTAGTGGGGCAGGCATGGGGAGCATGTGCAGACACACTCTCTCAGTCTCAAAAATCTGACCACGACACAGTTCACAGGTCCTCAGCCAGGTCACCCGTCCTCTGCCCCAGATGCCAGCCCAAGCTCAGCCACGCTCTGGACTGAGAGCTTGCCAGCCCTTCTCCAGCCCGTCCAGGTGCCCTGGTCCTGCCTCCCAGATGGATGAGCCATCCCCAGGCTCGAGAACCAGAGGGACTGTCTCCCCAGAATCCCCAACCATGCCGGCACGAGGAAGTGCTCACAGGTACGTTTGGAGGCCGGTGTAGGCTATTGTGAGGGCTCTGTGTCAGCCTCTAGAGCTCCTCAGGGCAGTCAGAGACCCAGGGACACGTGACACAAGCACAGTCACCAAGGTAGAGCCCTGCTCGCTCATTCACTCACTTGCCCTGTGACAAGCGTGTGACACCTGGTCACAGGTGCAGAGCCCCTCCCCAAACATCTGATTGCCACTTCATGGCCTTCCCTGAGGCAGTAAGTGGCCTTCCCAATCCCTCCCGGTTCCTCGCATGGCCTGGCTGAGGTCACTGGCCTCCCACTCACTGGGGAGGTTCCAGCGAGGTCCACTCATGTGAAATAACCCCTCCCACATACTTGGTTTTCCCTCCAGGGGAGGGCAGACATCAGAGAGACCCTGGCCCTCCCTGCCCTTGGCACAGCTCACCCCAGCCAGGCACGTGGTGCTCACCTCACCAACGCCAAACAAGTAGGTCATGATGGCCTGGAAGGGACAGGGCAAGGGTCAGAGCAGTTGGCTGGGCTGAGCTAAGGTCACTGCCTGCCTCTGCTCTCACCCCGCAGGACACACTGGGGACCACAAGACACACTGGGGACTGCAGCAACAAAATGGTGAGAAAATTGCTCATTTTCCTGAGACGTGGAAACGCCTAGAAATGGAACCCAAAATGCCAACCACAGGATAATAGGGTCTTTGTTCCTCCCCACCCCTCACTGTTTCCTATGGGGCCTCAGTTTCCCCAGGGCCAGGAAGGAGGCAGTTCTCTGGGCTCGGAGGCCAAGGGCCCCATCCTTCCATACACACACGCACGTCAGTGTAGTTGTAGCTGCTGTTGGTGGCCAGAAACACTTTCCCAACCTCCTTCATCTTGCCCAGCAGGATGGGGATTCGTGCCTGTGGAGGAAATAGAAGCAATTTCCAGGGGTGGGGCCGCCCAGAGCTGCACTGGGGTCCCCTTCTCAGGTCTCAGCCTCCCAGCAGGGGGCTCCAAGCCAGGCAGGAATGCCCATGGACCAGGCCAGGCTACAGAGCTCTGTCCAAATCTTGAGGAAGGAGGCCAGAGAAGGAAGAGCAGCCCCACTGCCCTGGGGAGGAGTGGCACAAAGGGACAGACCTGGTCATGACCCTGGTCTATAGTCACTCACATCCTTCTCCACGTATTTCTCCAAGTCCTCCAGGGTCTTCTCCTTGAGACAGCCCTGCAGGAAGGAGCAGAGCTGTGTGTGTGTGTGTGCATGTGTGCACACCTGCCCACATGCCTGCATTCAAGGTGGGGGGAGGCCGATCACAGTCCTCAGCGGGAAGAGGAATGGAAACTCTGTGGGGCTGGTGGCCTGGGGGTTGGCCCAGGATTGCTGAGGGCAGACAGGTCAGGGGTTCTGGGCCACTCACTGAATGGTGGATGTTATCCATGGCGTCAGTCACATCCTGGAAGAGGCTTCGGAAGGACATGAAAAGGTTCCCATGTTGATAGCCGGTGTCACAACTGGAGCAGGCCAAGGGGACAGGGGAGGCTGATAAGGGTGCCTGAGCCGACCAGCAAGCCTCAAGCCCTTACCACAGTGACCCTTCCAGCCACACTAGGCTTATGTCCCAGCCATCCTGGGAGGGGTGTCACCCTGTGCTGAGGGTTATCCCTTGAGGGACACTGGTTACAAGGTTGGGGAGCCCCCTGCACTGAAGGCTTCCCCACTGAGATCCTGGATCCCCTCAAACCTCTCAGGAGGGGCCTCTGGCCCTTGGTGGGACCCCCACATTGGGGCTTGGCCTGGGCAGTGGCAGTGTCCTGTTGGTCACCCAGGGCTGGGCAGGGTACGGGACTCACTTGGTGTAACGGGAGCAGCCGGAGAAGAAGTCCACCAGGCAGGCGTAGAGGTAGGTTTCTTGGGTGGAGGGGCTAGTCAGCCACTGGCCCAGGGATTCCCACCCCCCCACCCCAGCCAGAGCTGAGCCCTTGAGGACCACCTCCCCATACCCCTCAACCAGCCCTCACCAGGCAGGTTGAAGAGCGTGTTGAGGATGTGGAACCGCTGCAGATTGTCCCTCTGAATGAACTTGCTGGGGTAGAAACTCCAGATCTCTGCCCTGGGGAGGGGGTGGGCTGGGTGCAACCAATGTCCCCCGCCCCCCAGTGCCTCCCAGAGGCCAGTCCAGGCCCTGCCACTCCTTCCTGCCTCCACCTTCCCTTCTGCCCCTCCTTTATCCAGCTGGCATTGCTGAACCTCTGCTGTGTGCTTGAGCCACTCTTCCCTCCCTTCTTTCCTCCAGCACCCTTGCCCCCCACCCCTGGTCCCTTACTCCGAGAGGAAGGTGAAGCCGTGGGCCCCCAGCAGCACGTTCCCATGGGTGTCCACCTTCAGCAGGTTCCCATAGAGTACATCAAATACCAGCCCCCTGGAGAGAAAGCGCAGAGGATGGGGGTGCCAGGGCTGGCGACCCAGCCACAGCCTCCCATCCCAGCAAGCCCCCGCACCTGGTAGGGAAGGTGGGGTCATAGGTATAGCGCAGGATCTCGTGTGGGTACCCAACACACACAAGGCGCTCCAGCAGCAGCTCGAAGGCCAGTGCCTCATAGGCCGGGGACTTGTAGGCTGTGGGGGGCAAGCAGACTCAGCCCAGTTGGTGCCCACCCTCTGATCCCTCCAGCCCCAAACACCCTGCGCTCCCTCCCTCCCTACCAGCCAGAGTGTAGTCCATGTCGAAGCCAAAGCAGCGAATCTTCCCCAGTGCCAGGCTGCGGTTGACAAAAATCCTGGGAGCAGGAGGAGGATGTTGGGACCAGCCCACCAGCCCCCAAAACTCCAAGACCTAGGGCCTCCTTGGGTCTGAGTGTGTCTGAGCACATGCGTGTGAGTGCATGCATGAGCATGTGCAGAGAGCTGCGGAGGAGCAGGAGCTCACTGTCTCAGCGTGCAGGAGTGTGCTGGGAGCATCCTTGCGAGTGAGGATGTGCGATTGCCAGTGGGGGGTTGTTGCTTTCCTGAGTGGAGTCACTGTGTCCAAGCTCAGAGATGATGCATTTGTCACAAATAGGCAGCTCATGTCACTGCGTGGGAGGGAAGTGAAGGGCACTCCCTCTTTGCCAGAGTGTATATTGTCAGTGTCTCCCTCTGACAGGTCGCTGCCCACCTATAGATGGAGGTACCCTTGCAAGCACAGGTGCTTGTCTCTATGGTGAGTGTCACCATATCTGTGTATTTAAAGGAATCATTCTCAGGGTTGCTGTGTTATGTGGGGTATGTCAGGAAAGGGGGTGTTACAGGCTGAGATCCCCCCGGCCCCCACCCCAAGTGCCCGTCTCACCTCTGGTGCCAGTCCTGCTCCAGGCCCTGCGGCTCCCCTCTGGGCTCCACACTGGCCATCGCCACCAGGAGTGAGGAGGAGGCAGTGGTCCCTTCCCCAGCCACCTGCACACTATCAGTGGGACCCAGCAGCTCCCCTCTCCCTCAAACACTTCGGACACCAGTGACCCAGTGGCCCCACCCTGGGCCTCCATCTCCTCCTTCTTTGGGGGAGGAGTCAGCCAGATCAGTCTCTGGTACCCCCTCCCTTCTTCAAGAAAGAAAGCAGTTAGGATCAAGGAAGAAGAATTCATCTATATTATGCCATCTCCATTTCTAGGACTTATGCATCCAAGCACCTTAACCACCTAGGATGTAGCAAACAGGGGTTACAATGGCAGGAGCCTCCTGTACCTGAAAAATAAAACAGTCTTTAATAAATACATAAAGAACTCAGGACTCTTGCTTTACACACAATTCTAACACACTTGGTTATCAATTTCTCCAGCCCAAGACCATTTAAAGAAGTAATTGCTTAGAAATATGCCAACAGCTATAAGAAGCGGCAAATGACTAGAATTTCAGAATCAGAAAAAAGTATGAAAGTAAAAATCAACAAGCAGAGCAATTGGGACCATTTAGTGTAGAGCTGTCAATAGCCCCTGAGGGCCCACAGTGCTGGTTTTGGGCACTATGACTTCCACTCAAAGCTTTGACCCAGATCATTCAGAAAGACTTACACGATGTGGCATGTTCTCTTTTAAAAAGGAAGACAAGGGGCCAGCCCAGTGGCATAGTGGTTAACTTCGTGCACTCCGCTTTGGTGGCCTAGGGTTCACAGGTTTGGGTCCCAGGCACAGACCCAGCACCACTCATCAGGCCATGCTGTGGCAGCATCCCACATAAAATAGAGAAAGATTAGCACAGATGTTAGCTCAACAGCAATCTTCCTCAAGCCAAAAAGAGGAAGATTGACAACAGATGTTAGCTTAGGGCCAGTCTTCTTCACACACACACAAAAAAAAGACATGTTTACAATGCATTTTAGAAAACTTTCTCTCCAAAATGGCTAAACTAAATGAAGTTAGGCATTCTTGAAGGGATAAAAATTACCTGGGAAAAAAAGTATTTTAATTGAGTAGTTCTTTCCTTGACAATGCCAGATAAATAACTATTAGGATGATGAAGCAAGAGCATGGAGGCTGCAGGAACTGCATTCCTTCATTGGAAGAATGGATGGATGGATGGATGGATGGATGGAGGGAGGGAGGGAGAGATGGATGGATGGATGGAGGGAGGGAGAGATGGATGGATGGATGGATGGATGGAGGGAGGGAGGGAGAGATGGATGGATGGATGGTTGGATAGATGTACAGATGGAGGGAAGGAGGGATGGATGGATGGATAGACAGAAGGATAGATAGATGGATAGACAGAGGGATGGGTGGATGGACAGATGGAGGGAGGGAGGGAGGGAGGGATGGATAGACAGAAAGATGGATAGATGGATAGACGGAGGGATGGGTGGATGGATAGAGGGAGGGAGTGAGGGAGGGATGGATGGATGGAGGATGGATGGAGGGATGGATGGATCAATAAATGAATTAATGCATGGATCAATAGATCGATGGATCTGTGGATTGATGGATGACAGATGGGTGAACAGACAGATGGTTAGATGGACGGATGGTTGGCTAGGTGAATGGGTGGGTGGGTAGATGGATGGATGGACAATTGGATCCACAGACAGATGGGCAGATGAACTATAAATGGCAGCCTTTGTTGAGAGTGTCAGAGGAGAATCAAGCTTCAGAAATCAGGAGGATTTCCAGAGGTCGTTTCACCCATGATTATTTGCTTTCAGCTCATCTCAGGGAAACCTTTTAAAAAGTGCTCTTTCCCGTATTGCATGGTTCCTCTCTAGGTCAGGAACAGAGAAGGAGAAACACCTCTTTCTAGGAAACCACTGGAAAGTTCGTCAGCCCTCCCCCTGGGGGTTAACATAGCAAGTGTGCGAACACGTAGCTTGCTTTTCTTGTGGTTGAACTTGGGCGTCCATCCTCAGCTTCCCTTCCACCTAAGGACAAGGAAGTCATCCAGCAACTTTCAGGAACAGTCACTTCAGTGGTTTCTCAGGTAACTTCTCCAGCTGTACTCCAAGTCATCTCCTGGGGTTGACTGAACAATGTAGGGTCTATGCCCAGCCATGCTGGTAGTTGGTAGCTGGTAGTTGCCCATCACTTCTTGGTGGGGCCTTCTGTGACCTGCACTGGCATGCCTGGGGGGCCAGCACCTCCTCATGTTACTGTCTGCTAAGGTGGCCACATCCTCATTGATCTTCAGCTGGTCAATCTCTGCTGCCATCCCAGGTTACAGCCACTTGTCCAGACCCCAGAGTCCCTGGACTAATTGCAGTTCCAGTCAGGGAGGACCTCGGGCTATCACAGGGACTTCTTGGCCCTGACCCCTCTGCCACTGGCACACTTGGGGGCCCCTTCAGGAAGAGGAGATTTGTCATAGCAACAATAAGTGAATTCTTGTATTGCTTTTACTGTGTCCAGGCCTCGTAACAACCCCATGAGGTAGGCCTACTGTTACTCTGAATTTACAGATGACAAAACTGAGGCACCAAAGAGTTAAGCCTCTTGCCCACTGTTACAAATCTAATAAATGGCAGAGCAAGGACTGAACCCAGAGGCCGGGCACCAACATCTGTACTCTCCACTACCAGCTGAAACCGCCTCTGACCAAGGTCCCTCACAGAGTCCCTGGACTTTTCAATGTTGTAAAAGACAAAGAAAGGCCAAGGAAATGTTCCAGAATGAAGGAGGCTAAAGAGACATGACAAGTGAATGGAATATCTGCATTCGGACATTGAATCAAGAAGGAAGATGGAACACTGAGGACGTTATGAGATCAACAAAGAAGGCAGGACGATGGATGGTAGATTAAAGTGCTCCCTCGATGTAATCTATGAAGCTGATAATGTGCTGCAGTAATGTAAGAAAAATCCCTATTCTTGGAAAATATTGAAGGATTCAGGGCAAAGGTCATGATGTGTGTAACTTACCTTCAAACGGTTCAGGAAAAAAATCACACACATATACATACACACATACCTACATGTGTCTGTGTGTGTGTCTGTGTGTGTGTGTACATAGTGGTGGGACAAATGATAAATCAGATGGAGTAAGATGTTAACAATAGGTCAATCCTGATTAAGGGTATAAGGACGTTCTTCGTACTATGCTTTATCTTTATAACTTTTCATAAACTTGAAATTACTTCCAAATTAAATTTTTTTAAATAGAAGGTCTGTGTCCCAGGGCTGCCACATTTCCATCTTAGAGCGCTCTCTTCTCCTCCCACCTTCCTGTGAGCTCCCAGCTTGGCACCTCCCTCCCATTCACTGAGGGCTGGAGGGGAAACAAGACCAGCCAGCCTTCCTCTTGATTCTTACATCTCAACTGTGTCTTTTTAAAAAGTGTCCAAGCCCGGCACGTGCTTGCTTTGTTCCAGTGACTGCCTGACACTCAGAGAGGTTGTCAGATCAGGGGTGCCCAGCGGGCCAGGCGCCAGGTGTGGGGGTGCCCCTGCCACCCCTCACCTGTGCCCCTCCACCTTCAGTTGGAGGCATTGGTCCAGATCACACAGCTGGTCCACAGCTGCCTCAGCAACACGGGACCTGCAGCCTGGGACTTGAGGGGACCTCCATTCCCCTGAGCTTGGAGAAACTCTCTTGAGGCCACCGGAAACTTCTAGACAGGGACTTCCTTGCATGAGGGCGGCTGGTACAGGGGGATTGAGATGGGGACCAGAGCTTTTTAACACAGGGGAGTTTTGGATAAGGTCTTTAAGGAAATGTAGGATTTTTAATAATTTAAAGGAAAAAGGAATTTCATGCAACCAGCAATGATCCCAGTGCTGAGGGGCATAAAGGAAACTGGCCCACAGGGGAGAGCAGAGGCTGGGACCTCCTCTGGGGCAGTGGCCATCAGAGCCGGCAGCTGTCTCCTCCCCTCTGATGTGGCCGCACTGGCAAAGGGCACGTCCTGGGGAGAATGGAGAGGGACTGAGACCAGAGGGTGAACCTCGCTTGCTGGAAAGACCTGGGGCTGAGTCAGGGCCAACGAGCACCAAGGCCCAGATACAATTCTGCCTCATCCAGGGCAAAGGGAGGCCCCTTCATGGGTGGGGGACCGTGGAGGGACAGATTTGGGGCGGGAGGTTAGGAAGCATCCAAGAACCTGTCTCTCCTTCCATCAAAATAAGGGAAGTTGCTGGGAGTTTATGGTGTGTGGTGACTACATGTGTGCATGTGTGAGAGTGTGGGTGGGTGGGTGTGTGTGGGTATCAGTGTGTGTGCATATGTGCGTGAGTGTGAGTATGTTGTGAGTGTGCTGGCATGCTGGGACCAGGGCCTGGCAGCGGGCATGCCAGTCACTGATGCCCATGCTCAGCCTGGAGCACTTGGGAGCCCGCAGTTCCTGGGGGGGTGGGAAGGGAGCAGGGCAGAAATGCTGCCCACACAGCCCCTCCTGACTGTCCTACAAGAGCACAGGGTGGGGGCAGAGGAGACCAGCGGCCAAGGCTCCCGTATGTGACACCAATGCAAGGTTCTTTGGGAACCCTCTTTTAGGGAAAATTGGCCCCTGAGGGAGTGAGGCCTCATATACCCCTAAACTGGAAAACCAAGGGTTCCCCAGCTCAGCAGCTGTGCAGCTCTGGTGGGTCACGGGACCCCAGGGAAAGCTGTGAGGATGGCAGGAGGTGGAAGGTGTAAGAGGTGTGGGAGACAGTTCTGTCCTGTCCTTGAGGACTGTGTCACACGCCGAGGGGAAGGTGCTCCAGTCAGGTTGAAGGCAGGAACTGCAGGAGGCCTAGGGCTGGGAGGAAAGGCATCCAAGGCCAGCCAGACCCATTCAGCCCCTGCTGAGGCCTGGCTAGGGGAGGGCTTGAGAGCCAAAGCTGGGGGTTGGTACCCCCCCCAACGGGAAGCCACAACTCCCCTCGCTGCAACCTTAAGAGTCAGGAGGCAGCTACATACCAGGGTGTGGGCAAGGTGAAGACAGGTCAGAACA